GAATGAAGAATAAAGGAATTATAAAATAGGAAAAGTACGTGCATGAGAAGATGCGATGAAAATGTACTTAGCGTTAAAAAAACGGGAAAGTATCTCTTTTATTTTTTGTTACGCATTGTAAATTATATTAAATTCATAGTCATGACCTGAACCTCTGATGAGTGCAAACTTTCTCTGCAATCAACACAGTCTATTCACACAAGAGTACTAAACCAAACACTAGGGGGAAAGCATGAAACAAAATTGGTATGCAACAAAAAACAACACTTAGAAACTACTTTCAATCATATGATATTATAATCAAAGTGTACCCAAATCACCTTTAAATGCAGTTATTGAAATGTTGGGTGAGTTTAATGAGATAAGCTTATTTACAGGCGTTGATATCATTATTTCTCTACTACTACCAAAAATTCACATATTGGTCCATACAACAGTTTGGGTAAAATCTCCAAACTTTACATGTAAAAAAGGTGTTAATGAACATGAGGACAAAAATTTTCAATTATGCATATGGTGTGAATGCAACATGACTTCTACCTATATTATCCAACTCTTTCTGTCTCTTATCCATTATAATTACACCATCTTCCCTTATTATTATTATAGTTTCCTCTCACAAGCCACTCACTCAAAAACGGGTCACCTTATTATTATAACAATCTGCAGTTTTCTAGACAATATGTATTGTATAAAACAAGAAAACTTTATTATTTGTTCTAAAAAAAACAACTTAATATTAAGGCAGTCTATGAGACCTTTATTATAATAGAAAATGATAACATGAGACCATTTTTTCAGAAAAGAAATTTTCCTCTAATAGACTGTTACCTTATCAAGGAGTTTTCTCGAACGTTTGCTTCCTCAGATGTATCAGTATCTGGTTTTTCCTTTCTTGTAAACGTCACTTTTACCTGTACGCTGTAGACCGAGTTAAATTTACCATCGCTTAGAAAGTATGCGGTCTAACAGTTCAAACAATTTACTTGCATGCTCTGAAATGAAATTCTAGATTTTGTAATGCAACTTGAGCGTCGGGGATGCATAATGCGATCATTTTTTCCACAATGGGAAAAATTGCAGTCGAATTGTGGAAGTGTTAAAATTTTATTAGAAACGACCATCGTGATTGAGTCGCAGTATAGACAGACAAGATAAAGAGTCGTGACGATAATTTGACAGATAATGCTCCGTCATGTGGAAAATACAAATGAGGATGAGAGAAGTTTGCATGCTTATGAACCGTTTCGTTGTCTTGTGGTATCCAAAAATAGCCTTAATGGTAAATTTTGAGTTGCAACCGTTCATATAGTAATCAGTCCAAGCACGAGTGATGACGCCATGTGATCTGTCGTCGTATCATAAGTGAAATTCTTATTATTATGGCATGGTACAAGCATGATTAACTCGATTTTAATTGATTATATAAACTAATTTACTTGCAAGGGAGAGGCAAAAATATTTTTGTTTCTTTTGCTTTATCAAACTGACTATCTGGCGAGAAAAAATAACTCATGAGAGTTAGGGTAGAAAAGCCTCGTATGCGAATGTTGACCGAATCTTTTCAAGGAGGAATAATCTATGCCTTTAGTATTAGTATTAGTATAAGTATTAACTGGTTTTTAGGATTAGATTATTTGCTAGTTTTGCCCATTGATTCGATCTCTATGCGACATCGTGATTTTGTTGCTCTGTTGTAAACACGTGTTGTGACAGACTGCGGTCAAATTTAAATAATAACCCCTGCAATTCTAATTCCTAGTGACGTCAAGATTCATTCGTTTTTTGTTTGTCGCAGCATGCCCAATATATTCTCTATTATTAGTATTCTATCATATGCCACTGGAAGATCCCCGACGACGTCTTCGAAGGGCTGCCTGTGAGGGTAATCTACAACTCGTCAAGCGACTTAGTACCAAGACTAATCTACAGAATCATGATTCAGAGAATGGATGGTAGGATTAGCTGAATGAAAAGCATATCAGACATGAGTTTATATATCATTCACGTTTGGGTTTCGGTAGGACTACGTTGATGTACGCCACTAGGTATGGCCATACGGCTACCGTAGAATATTTATTACAGAACGGTCATGAAGATTACGAAATCTCCAGAGTATGTACTAGTAGTGATTTCAGAACAAATATAAACGACTGGGTTGCGGGACGTTGATTGTCGTGTGTTAAACAAACCTAAGCTAATAATAGTGATTATGTTATCTTCGAATTGGGTTATTGAATAGGATTTCGAGAATAACACGACACTTATCATTGCTGCACAATACGATTACTTGGAGGTATTTATAAAGCTGATTATTGAAATACTCGTATGCCATGACAACTTATTTTCTACTCAACGTTAGATTGTAAAGTTATTTGTCTCGGTATTTCCAGATAGCGTGGATATGGCGAATAAGAAGGGACAAACGGCGTTGATATTGGCATGTAAAGAAGGTCATATCGAGATAATTAAAGTAAGTACTAGGCGCATGCTTGCTTTTGAATTTATGCCTTCTAATGATTGCTAATGATTGATGTCCTATTGTTAGTTTCTTCTTGGAAACGGAGCAAATATTAATCAAACTGATCATGATGGAAATACGGCATTACATTAGTGAGTACAATCTATTTTGACTTGTATGTATTCATCGTGATCTATTATGTATATGTGAATATATTATGTGCTAAATATATTTTCGATTTGAAGTGCTGCTGCATGGGATCGTTTTCAGGTAATTACTTACCACGAACAATTTTCAATTTGTTTATCAAGAGACCTAAATTAATATGATATGATCTTGTATATTCAATACAACATTTAGGTGGTCAAGTTTTTAATTGAAAGTGGTATACATTATAATGTCAAGAATGCAGCAGGATGGACAGCTCTAGATTATTCGTTTTCACGAGAGCTGGAGACATTCCTGCAAGGTACATGCCTTACATAATGCGTACAGAATATTTGTACTTTGATCTTCATTTTCTCACTACTCCCGCCTTACTCAATCTCTATTATGGCACAGAATGTGTTCACAAATACTTCGAAGAAGCCAAAATTACACGTAAACGAAATCTGCGTGTTACGGTCGACTCTGTTTACGGCATTGAGAATTTTCCCATAACCACAAGGTCAGCAACATTTCCCAGGCCTAGTAATGAAGCTGCTGACAATGGAATAAAGTCTGCTGGTTCTATGGATAGCTTGTCTCCCGATGATTCTAATCTTGTGAAGAGGAAAGAGTCGCTACCTTGGTAGAAAGTGAATTTTCGAAAAGAACACATGAAGGATCACATGGACCTTCTGTAAATGTATCATTCACAATTATTTATTTATTTATTTACTTATTTATTACTATTATGCTGTTTGATCCTCTTTTGATTGAAACATTTAAGCCTTTCATACGGAAAATAGAATAATGTAGAACTATTAAGGGGGATGCTATGAAAGTTCTGATTGATTCAATTATAGTTGGAATGACAAGTATTGCAAAATGTGACTATCTAGACAAACAAATATAAATACTTGTTCTGGTGGGTGACTTGATGTAAATAAGAAAGACATCACGTGACCACGACATTGACAAAATTTTTTATTGAAAGCGACGCAAAAATTCTAAGCGTACCTAAAATCTTACAGATTTCAAAAATAGGGTCTGGTTCACCTCCCGACAGTTCATTTCTCCGAAAAAAAGATTTATTTTATCAGAAATTGTTCGTGTGGCATTATTTATGATCAGTAAAATTAACTCTAACGCTTATCGAATATAATGCGTCTGTGAAAGCTCGATCTGTTAATGTTTGCCAAAACGCCTAATTGGCCAGAGATTTTATTTCATTATCGACAAACGCAAAACTGTCGGTGAAAGAAAACGTGTCGGGGAATAATTGTCGAGGAAATAATGATTGTCGGGGGAAATGAGCTGTCTGGAAAATAATTGTCAGAACTTCAAACGAGGTACTCCACGCACTTTTAGCCTACTCGCTGAACTATCATATTAAGAGAATACGTGATCGAAATATATTTGGCACAACTTTCTGCAACTGTAAACCAATCAGCAATTACTTATCGATTATTACGTGATTCATAATTAAGTTTCACGTAATCTTTTAAATTAGAGGCTTTACGATTTCGATGATTATAATATTGCTTATAAAGAGTATATTATATTCTTATTAAAAGGGTTAATGTATTTTGACGCATTTCGTGTGGGCATCAAAAGTATCTGTTCAACAAGCTTACTTGTATGCAGTCTTTCCACGGTAACGTGAAAATTTATCCCACGCAAACATAATCTTGAAACAGGTCAATTTTATCGTTTCAATTGAAATGGGGTGTTTATTTCGAAAAAGAAACAAGATGTTTCCCTTTAACAAGCAACAGAATAAAATTTTAATATAACAAAACTTTTTTGTAATTAATAGTAAATATTAAGACTACTAAATAACGACACGCATATTAACCGACTACCATTAAACGTTGATATTAACTGTCTCTGTTATTTGGCTGCAGCTGGTAGATAGATCATGCCAATTTGTTAATATGTATTACACATCGCCTGTTTGTCATATTACTGTACATCTTCAAATTAGTACTTTTCAAAATTTCTTGGCGAATCTGTTGAACAAACTAATGACAAATTGCTGCATAAATTAAAATGCGTCTGGGCTTGTGATCTGATCTTATTAACGGACGGCATAAACTTTGCCGATTTAAAGCTTGGTGTATCCCAGCCCACATCCCAATCGGGCAATATGAGTAATAGTTTTTGTTTTAAACATACATGAATAAAGTGACATGCGACTTTCTGTTCACAGACAGAAATTCCAACTTAATAAAGTTTCCAAATTTTCCAATTTGTGCATGGTATGTGAATTTAGAACCGAGCAAACTTGACACGTTGATTAACTTAAACATCCGAAATTATTGTCTTTATTTCCAGACAAATTGTTTTGCCTTTGGGTCACCGCCTTTTGAGGCTATTACTTGGCTGTTTAGGGTAACTCGGTTAATCGTCTTAATTTCTCTCTCTTGCACGTTTGGTCCTTTCGTCAAAAGCATTTTGAGCAAACATCCCAGAATTCGGCTAGTATTTTTTGACAGTAAAATGCATAAGAGATTGACAACTCGCCGTAATTTGGAATAGGAGTGAGTTAATGTTTTGAAAATGAAATATATCATAAACAATTCGATTGACGGTCTGTAGCAAAGCTTTTCAAACATTTTATCTCCAGAATAAATTATAACACATGCATAATTTCGGCCTAAAGTTTAAAATTTTATATTTCGACACCTTTTAAACAATATGCGATAACTTTTTTGTATCTTGTTCTTTTGCATTATCAGAATAATTTATGTAATTCTAAACAGATCGCTGCGTTATTGCTAGTACAAAACAAATAACGTGAACTAATTGATACCATGCACATTGTTATTGCCAAACATTATAACGATTTTTTTTAATTGAACTAACAGCCAAAAAGCACTCAGAGATAGATTTGACAAACAAAAAATATTGTGCAAATGAATTAGAAAATGTGGAGCTATGATATATATTTGACCGGACTGAAATTTTGCAGGGGATCAGTGTTTGTGATGTATTATTACATGCACTAAATATTCGAGAAGTCATTTACTTATATATTTACTGTACGCATTTTTTGTAAATCCTGTAATTGAGCGAAGCTCTTGAGAAAGTACTCTTTTCTTTGTAAAGCTACTACATGGCACAAACAAAAGCAGACGTCAAATTAGCAGCATTAGTTGACAATAATTGAACAGCAATTTATTCAACAATTTGATGAACTTGTAATTAGAATGTAGTTTTGCTATTAAGTCTTCGGATCGAGGTATGTTGACCTAGAGCAAATATCGGTATGAAATTTTCTTCAGTCAGTCATACGAGGAAATCGGCAGTACAATTAATTTTCTGTTCAAATAAATAAAGATGAAATGCTTGAATGTATTCAATTAATGTAAGTTATATTCTAGCATTCCAAATCCATCATTATTCGATCAAGCAAATTAAAAGGTAAATTCTCGTATCGAGAAAACCGTTCGTTAGTAAATAGAAATAATTTCATGGTGGTTAACTCCTGGTCAAGTGACTTGGACTTGAGCAGACCCCTTTATCGTTTTAATTCAAACTCTTGGTTCGTCATCCTCTTGTTAGTCATTTAATGATCCCGAGTTTCTTTATATAAACGTTTTAGTATAATTTTTTAAGGCTTTCGACTTGGTTTCAAATGTATTATGGAGATGAAAGAACGGTATTACTTTTAGTTGTTGAAGAATGATGCACAATATGTTGGTCAAGCTGAGCGATTACAGATTAATGTGAGACACAGAATAAATCTTTTTGCCGCCAACGCCCTGTAATTTTTACGTAAGCTCTAAAGTTTAGTTAAACAAATTATATGACGCATTTCTGCTACGCAATAATGTTAATAAAGTCTCTACACAAATTTGCCCTTCGGATAAATATGCAATACCGATTACGTCATGAGAATAAATGCCGCACTATATACTAATGAGGTTGTCTCTTAAACAGTTTACATAATATTCACAAAGGACTTGGCTTTAAATTTCAAGTCCTTAATTGTTGGTCTAAGTTTGCAGTATAAACCTGAAAACCGCTACTTTCATCTTTGAGGTTTCGAGTCCTCATCGCAAGAATTTCTTGCAGTCGTTACACATCACACAATAGGCAAAAAACAGTCTTTTGTGGTTACTTGGATTAAACTTTTGCCCGAGTTTGTTAGCATGCGCATTGTGTTACTTTACTAATCAGGATATACGGCAACCGTTTTTTTACACTAATGGTATTTACAACGTTACACATATTAAAAAGCCTCCATCAGATAGGTAGCTGGTAAAAGGGGTGTTGGCCGTGTGACAGGTGCCATTAGCTTCTAAACATATACGCTTCTGTGCCCGCCGATCTAACCAATCATGCATTTTCCACATTTCTTTGTCTAATAAAGTTAAATGTGTTTGTTCCAAAAGATGAAGGCAACTAAAACTTACCGTGAATGAGCGGTTGTCTGGAGGTTTGTGTCGCGTTATGGCTTTAAATAATTACGTTTAATAATTACAACAATTTTAAACAGCGTCTAAGTGATTGGGACATTGAATGCGGGGGGATAATTGAAAATGCTACAAATAGGGGTTGAGTATGTATTATCTAGCACATATCATGCTGTTGGCGCCAATTTATGTTGTGTGCTACTGACTGCCGGCATAAGTTTTTGTACTTGTTTCAGTTTGAGGGATACTAATTGTTTTAAATTAAAGAAGTTATAATTGGATAATACAGACAATATTACCATAAACAAAGATATCATACCATATAACGCTTAATAATACTTAGATAATACATGCTCGACAATCCTTTGTGTTGTTTTGAACGATACGCTTATGTGGTACGTCAGTGATGTCACATCACATGAACAATTCAAACCGTCACAAATCCCATTAATTATTAATAACAATGTTTGTTTAATAAATATTATTATTTTAAACCATACATAAGACAAAGAGTATAAACATATATGAATAGATTTATCCATCTTATCAATATTCTTGTTTGTCTTCTATTTGTAATTAAAAATTTCATAAAGATAAAACGCCAAGCTAATAAGAATATATATCGAGATTATCGTATCAGTTATCATTCCGAATATGCTATTGATTAGTAGTAAAACCTAACATTTGATTTACTGTTATCTTTGTTTGAATTATTCAAGTCCTATTCTCCAATTCACCGAAATATTATGCGTTTCCGATTGTCAATTAATTTAGATGAAACGTCTATTTATGCAATATAGCTAAATAAGTCTGCTGATCGATGACAGCAGCATCAGCAACAAGAACAAAACAACAACTGCTACTACTACAATAACAACTACTACAATAGCAATGTTGGTGAACAATAAGCAAATCCGATTAGTTGTTTAATGATGCACTTATAGCAAGTAAAATCAACAAATGAGCTAGGTTAAGTCTTCCACGACAACAATTTTGCTGGCGCTTTAAAATGTCAAGTCCCCTATAATCTTAGTTTATTTATTATTTATTTTTGTAATCATCGTAAATTATTATTGATATTACAAATCATAAATATCCATTATTAATCCAAACAGGTTTATCCAATTACTTGCTTAGCTAATGTATTATCTAGTGTTCAGCTTAATTTAGTCTGTTTTGGAAATATTTGTTAATTAACTAATTAAATAAGGAATACATAACCTATTTCAGTATATTCGGCGAATGACGCTGATGATCCCATCAAAAATGGAAATGATGTGACGTTGAATAAACGCGAAGCCGGCCAACAAAAGTATAGGAGACGATACAGAAATTAAAAGAGTTCGTTATTAATAAATCTACAAAATCGCAAGAGGTTTGGAATCGCCCGAGAGTATATGTGGCCATTTAGAGCAAAGGAAACCCAATTGCTATTCTATCTTTCTCATAAATCAATATTGTACTTCCTCTAGGTACAGACGGTAAAAAAAATACTTTCGAATGTGAAAGGGTTTCAGAACGCCTCATATACATTTGACTGACATCTTATTCACTCAACTACCTGGTAAAAGGCTGAACAACCAATTCGTTATCTTAAAGCTCGAGCGGTTTATTCCATAACGATCATATTTACATAAAGCAACCACGCCTTTACAAATTTGCTATCTCAGTCAAAATATCCCAGCTCTTTTCCCCTAATAAGATCTGCATATATTTTTTACTGTAAAACGTCATATCGTTCAAACACTGCGAATTTAAAGGTCATTCATACATATAAAAATCTGAGTAACTTCACCATGAAACCAGAGACTAACATTATAACATGGATGTGCAGTGCTGCAATTTAGTATGCTCAAAAATCTAAATAGATTGAATATGGCGTATTAGTATCAAAAAAGATATCACCAAACAAGAATTGTACAAATTCCAACTTTAATCTTATTCTCTTATGCTAGTTGTTACTTGATATTGTCATACCTTATTGTAAAGGACGATTGCAATCGGTGAAAATTGCAATTAAGTTTGTCTCTTTCTTTTTTTTTTAAAGTTTGTTTGCGCGACTTTTTTTTTACCTTTGCTATATACAATCGACTAAGCTTAAGTGTTTATTTTGTAACATAGTTTTTTTTGATCTTTCAATTCGCTCTGTGCTTAATTGAAGATCGATTATTTTCATCGACATCGTCATCGTTTTCACTGTCGTAATCAGCGCCTTTCTCTTCTCCATTATCTGACTTGTCAACATCATGATCTGATACGGGGAGTGAAGTAACTCCGGGGTTGGAGCCTTCCAAAACCCGGCGTACATCATCATGAGGCCTACGATACCTGGTTTCTTTACGAATAGGAATTTTTATTCCTTGTTTGGCAAACGCTTTTGAAAGTTCTGTTGACTCTATGTAATTATTAAAAATATAAAGAGTTTGAAAATTGATATATCAAGTAGTCAAACAACATTCAATGTAACCAAAAATAGAAATGCACAAACTGTGTGATTATTATTAAGCTTACCGGTCATGCCGGGAAATTTCTTTGCAGAGTAGACAGTGAAGGATTCGCTATAAACTTCAGCCTCGACACGGACCTGACTTTGAGGTCCTCCACTGGTCATCGGGTTAGATCAGTATTCATGGTGATAATTAACGATTATAACAAATATTGACATGTAAAGATTTTTCATACCGTTTCACCAACTGACTGATGTCAGCAAATTGAAATTTTAGGGTAAAAGTACCCTCAGTTCTTACGGAAAGATCTTGGAATACAAAGTAAATCCCTTGCTGACCGTGCTGGTTAGTAAGAGTGTACGCCGACGAAGTCAACGATCCCATGAGATTGCGGGTACAAGTCGGGCCGTTCAGCGACATGACGGTTGAGGAAGGCCCTGTCGACTGAGTTGGTATAGAAGATGGGTTAATTACAAGACTACGTTCTTCTTTGCGGTTATTGGACCACAGTCCCGCATGAACAACGAACATTGAGGGATCGACGGAACTTGTAAACGATGCAATCGATTTTGTTATTTATTTTAATGTGATTGAGTCGTCGCATTAAAATCAGAATGTTGATGGTTGGCCAATTTTTTACGAAGATATGATCAAGTTTTTTTTTGAACGTATTGACATACACATATTAGTAAAGAGGGGTGTCACATGAAAAGAAATGTATGATAAAAATTCCCATATTTACCTTTCAGGGATGGGCTTGCCATCGGATGTGGTCATGATAAGACGAACTACAGGTGGTGGATCGATTGGTCTCCGGTCTTTCTCACCAAACCCACACATTCTGGCTCTTATTGGTTGTTGAGCTACCTCAAGTCGGTACCTGTAATAAAGCGATACATGTACATACATATACATGGACGTATATCGTTAGCCCAGCCCAACACCAGTCATAACTACTCGCAACGCACTTGGTCATTGATTAACCACAGATCAGACGATTTAAAAAAAAATTTTCTTTCCCGTGCCTTGTGATTGCGACTTGAAATAACGTTACATCTCTTAATATAAAAAAAAGTATACTCACGTCCTTGGCGGCTGTTGCGGAATTATACTTTCTGACGGAGTAGACACATTTGTATAACCTGGATACGCGTAGGCTGAACTCATATTTACAGCATAGAAAAGAAAGAAAGAAAGGGAGGGAGAAAGAACGTTTACGAACGTCTATTCTTTGGTAGAGAACGAGTGATAACGAAAGGATTTGGAGGCAGTTTAACAGCTTAAACAAGTCGACAATAAAAATTTCCTCCGAAACAACTGAACAGCGCCTGAAATTTATGAGTAATAAGAAAGATAAACCAAGTTAGCTATTTCCTTGCGTAAGCGGTTACATGTTTGATAGACGCGTGCTATTAAAAAAAAAGAAGAAGAGAGTTTTTATAATACTCGCATCTAGGATCAGTAGCATATAGAGGAAAAGTGTTAAATGATCCATGCCTTTATCTAGTCCGACGAATAGCGAGAGGGCGTGATTCTAACCGTTGGATTGTAGGAAAGAATCAAGAATTATAGATGTTAGTCAGAGATTGATAATAATCGACTTTTGAGTTATATTAATAGATCCTATTCTAAATTTATCGGAACATTTATATGTATGTACATATATACATATCGTGTGAGTGTGAGCGTATTTGCTCAATTTCTATTGTATGGTCTTTGCTGCAACCTAGTTGGATAGAACAGAGAAAGTCATGACAGACTTACCAAACGTTGAATTTCGGGCACAGCAAACCTTGTAAGTATTCAACCCTTTATATAGATCGTTGATGGTTACACAATACGATTGATTATACCGCATAATATAAAAAATAAACTATATATTATATTAACATTTTGAACACAAGTCATTCTCAAAATGAAAGGCAATAATACTATAATATAAATATTTTAAAAACTGCGTATACAGAGTTATTTATGTACTCTATTCAATACCCTTCTTGTGGTGTAAATATGGCATCTAAGGCTAAAGTGGATAAACAAATGTAGTAACATTCTCACATTAGCATGCATATCTTGTTTCGTTGGTCCTTAACAGCTTGACGTTACGCTTCCGCCCATCTGGGGCTGATGCATTTTCTCGGAGTTTTATTTATCAAAAGGGATCGTATATGTCCTCGAATTCTACCTCACGCTTACCAGCGTTCTGGTAATGAAAAGTCTACAATCGTTATATAGGTGTGACTCCGGTTGGCTCCTTAAGGTTGCACGAACAGAGTGATATCTTATTGGACCATGTTATCGTACCGAAAAGAATAGTTTTTATATATGTCAGAGACGATCACTACAACAACCCGTTCGAAAAAATAAAGCAAAAAATAAATTTCCAACCATGGGTCGATGACATTCTAAGAATAAAATTTAATCTGATGGAATTAAATGTTTTATAATTACTAAGGGGTAAAATGTTTTTAGTGTGCGACGCTGGAACACGGGAAAACTTGTTTGTCGAACGTGCAATAAGACATGTCATATTAATAGCTTTTTAAACATCATATTCATTAGGTAATGCACCTGATGCCTGTGTTACGTCTCTTAATAATAAACGACAAACCATAGAAGTCAATTACGTTGATAGGTATTAAACATGTATGAGAAGGCCAATGTTATTTTCGTATGAGATAGCGTTGCCCATTCAGAATATAGTCATTTATAACCGGCATAAGTTGAGACTTCGCTGATACATTCTGGGCTTTTTTTTTTTTTAGAATTCCGCGATCCTCGATCTGTGAGCATAATCGGCAGATCATTGAGACATTGAGTCACACGCATAACCAATAGATATGTTTGGTGGAATGATAGATAATACGTATACAAAAATAATATTAATAATACTATGTTTGTAAAGTGCTCTTATCTAACATAAAAGGATAAAAGAGACTTCATTGATAGATATTTACAAAGTCAAATAGACAACAATACTATCTACCAAATTGTTACACAGTCATAACCATACCGCTGAGTATTTTAACCACTTTCCAACTTGTTGATCGCAATTATCCACAATGAGTCTTTAAACGATTAGAATCATACATATATTTAGGATGTGGTAGGTACCTGCTGTAATACTGACATATATATGGCAATAACTGCCAGGAATAACTTTACCACCATCACGGATAAATATGCGTATTTAGGAAATATCCTATCCGAATAAAGGAGGTGTAATATAAAAAATGTGCCAAGAGTCAATATCGTCAACAGGCATGATTGTGGCTTCTTTGGTCAATATTCATAATCGAGCACTTTCGGCATTCATTTATAATAGACAAAGACGCAAATTACAATAGCTTATTTCTACACGTAGTATTTGTGAAAAAAAAAAAAAACATTTAACGCAAATTGATTAATTGACTTAATGTCTTCCAAAAAAGCTGTTTCCACCCAAAAAACATCTTGGCATCAGTTCAACACATACATAAAATAATTCTATCCTAACCAACATTCTTTTTTTTAGCTCATGGAGATAACGTTAAAACTGACTTGGCTCAAAATAAAGTCTTACACTATCAAAACCGTCATTTATCATCGCCCACATGTCCATCTTTTACATTGACAGCAATGTGACAGTTACAACTCGATGCTGTCCTTAAATGGGTAAATTACTCGGAATCTACAAATATAGAGTCAGTGGAATATTCTAATTATCGAATTACTATTGTAAATAAGAAGCGAACAAAATTAGTGACTCGCGGTTTGCCCAATTAACTTTCTTGTTAAAATTCTAATAATATTATTACGAATTTTATATATAAAAAAAGCATTAAATTTTGAGCACTAAAAATAACTATACCAGTATGTCAATAAGAATATCAAATATATGCAAGTTTAGAAATCATAGTAATACGATAGTAATAGGTGTTCCCCTGTATAAGTCTCAGCTCATGTCGATCATTATAATTACGTAAATATGTTGCCGATCTCAATAAAATACAACCACTCAAGTTCAAAATGTATTGGACACTTGGATGACATAAAAGTTACATTCCATAACGTAATAAAAATTTTGGCGCAAGACATCGCAAGTATGTTCTTTCTCTTGGACATGTAAAATCAACCGTAAATTCTAAGCGGTGTTTACTAGCTATAAAATAAAATATTGCCATTCTCTGACAAAGCATGTCTGTTTGTATTTTTTTTAACAATTGAAATTTATTCATTAGCTATATTTTTAATCATAATACACAAAAGTTAAATGCACGCATTCTAATACTATTAATTTTTTAGTAAAGCAATGTTAATATGCTTTAAGTAGCTTGACATTAATTAAATGGTTCAGCATTTGAATTTATTTATGCTTAATGCAGAACCAAAAAGACAAAACTTCTTTGAAGTTGCAGTGGAGGCTTGAAAAGGCACTGTCATCGTAATGGTGTGTACTTACTATAATAAACATCCTAGTGCATTATTACAGCAAAATGTGGTGCGTTATTAAATGTAAAAAAAAGCATGATAGTCTATTAATAGAAAGTTCATGAGAGATAACCATCGTCTATTACTACTGCAACAACAGCCTTTACATTTACATGCAATTAAACACCAGCTCAACTGTAATGCCCAGATATGAGAATAATCCAGTACATTGACAAAATTTGTCAATGTAATTTTAAATCTGTGTCAAAGGCAGTTTGCCTGATATCCAAAAAAGTACCTAAATTTGTCAATATCAGTAATGACAATTATTACTTGAATAATTTTGCTTAATAAAGTTTAGTTGTCCGTGTTGTTATCTCAGTTAGAAACTTGCTTCAGTTCTGAACTGAAACAATTAAGTTCTGAACTGAGAGCAACATACAGACTCAAAATCTATTTGAAATTGCCCACTCATAATAAATAGAAATTATTGAAACAAGTTATACTAACTTCTCAACACATCAAATAAAAAAACTAAAAAGCTAGTAAATAAATATTTGAAGAAAATTTGACCAAGAATACTTATGATCATGGAATACCAAATTTTTTATTTAAGTTTGAATAAATGCTGCAATTTTGCGTCATCATAAAAAGTGGTGATTAACGTTTTACACTGTTATCATAAACTGTTTTAGTATTGCAAGGTCATGCATATTAAAAAGTTGCATAATGTAGACTGTCTATGTTATATAGTGTTTACAAAATACAGTACTAGAGTTGCATCTAAGTAAAAGTAACAGTATATATATTTTCCGTAGACTTTCTTCTGTTTGGCGTATTGCTATGTTATTATTAATATATCAAAGTTGTGAATACGGATAATAAGCGTTTTAGAGTAAAAATATTAACAATTAAAGGATTAAATTTAGAGTTTTTTTTATCAAAAATTCTGCAATTAATGTGTTATGTACAGTTTCCTACCAGGTCTTGAAAGTTTACTAGAAAAAGTTTTTTATTCAATCCTGTATCGTATAATTTAGGCATTGATTGATTGCTTGTCCGTTTCGAAAAAACACAAGTTAAATTATATTATGATACAAAGCTGCGGTTCGATAAAGTGGTATTAGACAGGTTACACACACATATGCTTTTCTTATACACTCACTTCATCGTATAACGGTAATACAGTTTAATCATCTGTTCTGGTATGCTGTAAAGCTGATTGCTTAAAATTTTACAATAATAAAGACGGGCGTTTTCGTACCTCTTACCAGGTAATTTCAAGGTCTGCCAAGAATATTATTTTGGGACGGATGTATATGTATGTATACTGTATATCTTTGTTGATACGCACGTACATATTTGTTTGGATGATTAAATTATTCCGTGGGGGATGTAAACTGAAGTGAGGTACCATTGCCAGCTACTAAAGGGAATTGTTGTCGTTATACATCGCCAAAACGATCGACGGAGAGCATGACTGAATTCCCATATGTGGAATGTCATCAATGAACAGCTGTCAGCTCATATGAAGACCATAACAAGTAATACAAAACCCCCCTTTTCTTGCTCTTCAATTCTCCTCGCAAGAGCAGAAGTTGACGTTCATACTCTTTCACCACTTTGTCTCTAAATCACGCGCTTAATCTTTTTTGAAAAAATTTAACATCATATTTGCAAGTTTAGAAGAATGTCAAATTGGAACCGCGCGAGTCAAAACTTATGGCCTCAACAATGTAAAAAGTTTTCAACCAAAAATGTTTTTCTGGCCGTAATCTTGAAGACCGTCTCAACTTGGTTGGTTTTGTTATTATATACGTAGAGCCAGCTTTAGAGCTAGGTGGTAAATGGTTACCAGCAGACTAATATTCAAATGTACCAATACTTGTGTAGTTGAAACGAAGAAAAGAGAAACATCATAAACAGCACGCTTCAGAGAGTTGTAATTGCCCTACAAGTCTGCATTTGAGAAACTCTACTTGCCATGCTACCTCTTACTTGTTGCGTCTTGCTTTTGTAAACAAGTGCACATCGGTATGGTACGTTAATTAATTAATAACTCAAGTTAAACAAATAAGCATAAATTCGTTCGCTCGTTTTAATAGTTCCAACACTGTCTGACTAGATTTAATTGCAGAAATACATTGAGCTATTTACCAAGATGGGGGTCGAATACCAGTCGGCCGTTTGTAATTACTTTGCGCATCTCACTCAAAACAAACCGACTTTGATCCAAGATCATCCAGTATTCGCGGCTGGCCGTGACGCCGGAATGTCACAAAAAAACTTTAGGTTTGAATACGGAGACTCTCAGCATGCGGGCCGGGGTTGGAATAGGCGGGGCTTCTGGATCGTATTGCAGATTATCAACATGACCGAGCGGTGAGTGAACAGTGAACCTATTACACATAGAGTTGGATAGTGATAATTATCTCCGCAAATCCGTATAATATGGTTATTGTGTCTACAATAACATTAACTGCGAATTGGGGGGTTTTTTGTCGATAAGTGAGTCGAAAATTACAAGTAGATAAAAAATAGATGACCCAGAATATCACTAACTTGACAAGGCTTTTAACCATTACCATAAGGCCATAACCATCATTGTCGAAGAAATAAGGGGTCATGTTCGAAATAAGGTCCGTACTATTTGTATTATTTCCTACTATCCATTACCGAAACGGATATAGGGATACGCTGTTGTCGTCCATCAAACTTATTTGTCCATACGAATCAATTTAATAGGAGATTGTTTAATCGTGTGAACATTGTGGTATTACTCAAAGTGCAATATTAAGTTTGGCAAAATATGGTCTATCGCACGAACCGAAAGCATAAAATATTCAACTCTCTTTGTGAGGAACAACTCGGGCAAAGTAAATCGGTACTTTAACGTCGCAGTGAAAGCACCTATGTTTGTATCTCAGTTGAGGATCTGGGTTCCGAACTGAAACAAGTCCCCAAACCCAGACAGAACGAGTCTGTGCAGGAAAGAGTTTATAAAAGGAATTGACTGTAATTCGCTAATAAACTAATAAAATTTTTACTCTTAGTGGTTTTATTATTATGCATCGACATATTAGAGTCTGTTAGACATGTACGAATGTATAATTGTGCGTAAAATTAGACGTGTTGAGACGAGGCATTTAACGACATCATATTCACTTGAAAATAATAAGGTGAGTGTGGAGGATATACTAGTTAATATACGCCGTATTTATCAATGAAATAATTACATGCCACATGGATGGAGTGTTGTCGTCACATAATAATAATACTGTACAACATTCTCGGACAATTTGTATTGTTTCCAACTTCAATTGATTTTGTATTCTCATAAACTAAAACTCATGCTACATGTTTGCATTCCATGCTGACCGTTACAGTAGAAATCAGTTGGGTTACATCAGAATTCTCATAAACAACCGGACTGTTATTTTTGAAATTCGATCTATCGTTAAATAAATATATTGTATCGTATTGTTGTCTAAAATTCATGTTCTCAACATCATTTAGCATGTTTTATTATTTTATAATCTCTTTCCCGTACGCATTCAAAAACTTTTCCAGTTTTCACATTAGTTTCCAACTGTCTGATAGGCAACTAAGTGACTTTAACCGATTCTTAATTCCAGATTGGAAAAGTTTTTCTTTCTTAAGCGATAGACCCATAAATTTACGAAATTTAACAATAATTCTCTCAATACTTGGGGTAACATGATGTAATTTAAAGTGGCTTTATTTTCAGTTCCCTAAGAAAACCACTCACCAGTTGTTGTCTTTTATACAACACTGTTAATTAATGTGGCAGATTAAAACGAAATCGGATTAAAACGAAATTTTGGGGTCTTTTGGGTTTCCTTTTAATGCCTTGAAACCCACATATACTCTTTTACTAATAAATGGTATCCTAAATTCTAACCCAAATTTCCAAAAAAGGCTAAAAATTATTTCCCAAAAAATTTTATAATTTTCATATTAAAATAGAAAAAATTTCGTTTTAATCCGATTCGTTTTAATCCGATTCGTTTTAATCCGATTCGTTTTAATCTGTCACAATTAATAATAAGCGAGCAATACAATAGAGTGTTTGTTGCAAATTTCAAGAAAATCGATTGTGAGAATGTGTTGGTCCGGGCAAATAATGCCACGAATAAATTTGCATTACGTGACTAGTTTTTGATTACACCAATCATATAAAAGTAACTCAAAGTTTAAATGCTTATACTTTCCGTTTTAATAATCTAACTGGTAACTTTGTAGATTTCGTCACGAAGAATACGGTCAGTTTTTAAAATATAGACTTTGGAAAAGCTTCAAAGTTAAACCATTTTATTGTTGAGCTATGAATTCGATACAAAAGTTTATTAGTATTGCACCCCAGTGTAGTTAACAATTAATCTATGGGCGTGCTGCTGAGACAGCTAATGTGATGATGCCAAATAAAGACGAAATTGATATGATAATATGTTGTGACCTTTGACTCTGAAACGAGTCGGGTTATTTATTTAGTAAATCAATCTGGGCGGCCTAATGCTAATAACAAGTTTTGATTTGACACTTATCATTCAAAACGCTAACAAAGACAACAGGGCCAAAACGCGACATATACAGTAGTAAAACATTGTTAATCTGAAGTTGTTCGTAAACAAGTTTAACTTAATTAATAAGTAAAAATAATTTGAAAACTAGTCCAGATTAACGTAATTTACTATGCAATTTATTATTTATTATTTTTTTAAAAAATAATAATGTAAGCAAACTTGTTCTATTTATTACGAGACTGTAACCGTTTCGCAAGGTATTATAATAAACTCCAATAATGTATATGAACAGCTTAGTACCGTATATGTTGTATATACATAAGAATTGTCAATCGTATAAATTTATAAAACTATATTATACTCACTGGACAAAAATATTGGAATTTTTTGTCGACTAATTAGTAGAACATATAAAAAGTCTTTTTTTCTTTTCGACCATATGGGAGACAATTATAACGTCGACAATTATTTTGCAGACGTAATATTTTGCCGACAACCATTTCGCCGACGGGTTATTTTATTGACAATTATTTTATCGACATTATTTCACCGACAATCAAACATTGTTTCGAAAAATTTTTTTTTACAGTTGACTGTCAGTAAAACTAACCGATTGTTGGTCGGCGATGAAACGACCTGTTGGTGAAATGGTTGTCGGCGAAATATTACGTCTGCAAAATAATTTTCGATGTTATGGTACGGACACATTTTTTCTTATTCCCTTAGTTATAAAGAAACAGCTGAAAGAAAAAAGATTTGACAAGGTCGAAAATTTGGCAAAGACTGTTCAGGCAGTTGCCGGAACCATCCCAGAAGCCGACTATGAGATGTCTTTCTAGAGTCGGCAGAATTGTCTGCAATGTTGCATGGACATTAATGGAGAGTACTTTGAGGAAATTAAATATCCGGATTAACAAGTATTACGAAATAAAGGTCTACGCGCAAAACTTTTCAGCTCTCTTCCCTACGTATAGTAAGGCGGCATATCTTTATACAGTATATTTTTATATAGGATACGGGAAATCTGGTTTAGTGAGGGTGATATATAATAGAGAAAATTCGTCCAGCCACAAGCTGGAACTGTGTTACGATAGGGAAGTGTTATAAACGACGACTGTACTGACAATATAAATACAGTACCAAATTTATTTATATGTGTGTTTCAAATAAATGAGCTGAGATGGCGTATTTCCAATTTAGTATTAGGACTAAAGGCTTTTCGCAGTAACGGTAAATTAAAATTGCGCGGTAAGACTTTTGGTTAGTTCAAAATATAAATAATTCTTTTTTTTTGTAGAGTTGATCGATTATTATTGGTTGGATATCCACAGGTTGGCCTGAAAAATTCTTTTCCGGATGGTTGGGTTGGTTGTCTATACATTTATGCCAAATCAGGCAAATTTTTGACCCATTGATATGTAGCATTATCATTTAATATGATATCACGAACAACAAGTGATATTGACATATCAATTTTTATTTTAATTGAGCTATTATTTGATAATTACCAAATTAAATAACGATTTAGAATATTGATTTAATCGCGTACTATTTGCGGGGAGCGGAATTAAAGCTCGCAGTTTTATAAATACGTTGTCTGCACGATTGCAAGCTTATCACACTCTGTGAAAGTAAAATTTGCTGCCTTAACAATTTTAAACAAAAAATTTATCGCTTGCACAGTATCTCATCGTCAACCAATATCCAAAAACGTTACAAGACAGACAGATTGTATCATTACGCAAGACGCGTGTGACGAGACTATTCAAATACCTTGTAATCCTGAAAAACTAAGTATATAACGAAAATAACATACTAATAATATGTGTATTTAAAACCGCTCGGACTTTTATTAAAGTGACTATTAAAGTAAGGGTAATTGGTACGAGTAAACATCCCACACTTGAATTGCGGATTGTAACAATACTACACAAATAATTATTTATATAGTTCTCCTGTTCGCGCAAAAATGCAAATTTGACTACAAAAAATACGAGAGTATCAAAATGTTTGATAAACGTGGCTGGACATGTCATTGCTGTGAGTTACTGAATTAGTTTCTTGTATTGATCCGGAAATACAAATACAATTGTAAATAAACAATTGTACTGAGCGCAATTTGATCTCTCAGAGAACGTGTAGTGCTTTAATGGAAAAAAATTATTCCATTCCGGTGTGGCCAGGTATTTCCATGGCCCGAAAGGCGTGCGTGCGTATTGCGTGTGTTCGGAAGTAGCTTACTTTTAAAATTTATGTTGTTATTTGACAAATTTCGCTCATTGTGAAAAAACGGTTTGAGTTACTAAATACGCCAGCCGCAATTTTTCCATCGTTGAGAGATGTAAATTTATTCAATTCAAGACTTAACCATTGTGATAGATTAAAACAACACCAGATTAAACTGACTTTTTTTTTAGACCTTTTTTGAAAATATTTGGGCGAGTTAGGGTAGTGTTTGATAATATGTGGGGTTTTGAGCTTCAAGGGTGGACTCAAGAAGACCCAAAAGCCGGTTTGATCCGATGTCGTTTTAATCCGATACAATCATTTGGGCTTAAACCCAAGTGCGCAATTACACCAAATTTCAGCAAGCAATTACTTTGATAAGCTGTCATCAGCCAGAATTTGGAAAAAAAAAGTTTGCTAAATTACACAGGGTTTCAATTCTGTCTAAACCTGAACAAGATGCATTTCTAATGGCACCCACGGAGTCGAAGGAAAATTAAATAGGGTAATTTTGATTTGAATTAGTCGGGATAAACGTCACTTGCACTATTCGAAAATTAATTAAGCAATAATTGTTTACAATATTAATTACAGACTCTCATTCCGCTATTTGTGTAATTAGTCAACGAATATTTTACAGCTTAAATGAGCGGTCGTTACAACTTAAGTGAATCGTTTATGCCGAAACCTTTACAACTTGTATGCGAGCCGTTTTATAGGTATATCCGGTTAATTAATATTCAAGACGAAAAAAAAATGATTTCAAAAGTTGTTTATTTTATAATCCGATTAAAACATCTTATTAACGCAATTATTATTAATCATGAGTGGTTCGACGATAGAATATGATCTACTCATATATATTTTCTGACACAAAAATAAAATTAAGAACGAAGTTAAGTATAGCGTTGTACTGACACTGAAAATCGTCACGAAATGACAATGTTCTGACCCAAATCGAAATCTGACCCAATTCGGAATAGGGTCGACCCAAATCGAAATAAGCTCAGAGTGATAT